TTTTTGGAGAATAATATAATTCAAAATATAAACAAAAAGGAGAAATTTCAACATTGTTAGTAAACTCTTATAGTTAATGATGTAAAAATATTTTTAAGGAAAAAAAAAACTACTTTTTTTGCTATATAATATAATGGATGTCAAAATTGAAACTAAAAAAATCATAACTTTTTTTTTTTTTTTTTTTTTACATTACATATGTATGTTTTTTTCTCATACATTATACTTAATAATTACCAAAATTTTTAACGTAAAGTGAATATTTTTAATTATTCAACACATGCCAAATAAGTATTTAAAAAAAAAAAAAAAAAGAGAAGGTGATTATGGGATGATACGTAGTGTGGTTGAGAAAAAAAGAGGGTAATAATTTGGTTCATGGCACGATAAAAATTAAGTTAATTAAAAAGTTTTAATTGTGTGTTTCAGAGAAGTTACGTGATGAGGGTACATCATTAATTAAACTTAATCACCAATGACAGCCAAGGGAGATGCATATATAATCACTTTCTTCCTTTCATCATTCTTTAATTATACTTTTAACCATCCAATGGTAAAAAAATTATTTTTTACTTTACTTTCAAATGGTAAAAATTTTACACTTTGCTATTTGTAATCAAAATGTTGATAGTTAATGAAAAAGGATAACTAATACAGTGGCTTAATCGAGCTTCCTTACAAATGACGAACATCCATGCTGCTGCTACTTTTATTCTTTTCATTTTACATCCTTCTTTTTTACAAAACTTTTCTCTCTCTCTCTCTCTCTTGCTTTTCTTTTTTTTTTTAAAGAAATGAAACTTTCATTCAATCACCTTATAATACAGCCTAATGACTATTAGTAACATTATTATTACTTCATGTGCTAATTACAGGTTTTCTCCACTTACATTTTGTATATATCTACATGTAATGTAATGAAGCTTGACCCAGATTTCCCATCATTCTCTATGGGAAACGACACTACTATTTTGATTCAGATTAGAAATAGAAATATACGCAGACCACAAATTTGAGAGCAACTCTAGTTAATTAGGCCTTGAATTTTCTCAATAAGACTTTACATCAATCTCATCCTTTTAATAATTAATTATCAGTCTGCAAACCCGAATGCTCTCTCAACCGTCACATTAATTCAATTTACAGTTTGCCAATTATAATTTCTGGTGGGGGAGAACAAGTTCATAAAACCCAGTTTGATTGACATTCCTTAAATAGAAATTTTACTTTGTTGTTGGAGCAGGGGAGATTCTGAACTGATCTGATGAGTAGCTGGGTGGTGAAATATGTAGTTGGGCAACTCAGAAATGTTGAATCAGATAGATTTAAGCACAAGTCCATCTGTCACTGACCCTACTGGATGCCATACCACGTGAGGAAAAGGTCAAAACCAAGCAATCTTCTGGGATATATATGTGGACCCTCTTCTTCCAGCTTAACCTACCTTGCAGCTTCTCTACTTACAAACCCTTTTTTTTTTTTTTCTTTTGCAGAGAAGCTGATCAGTAAAACCCATTTGTAATTTGTCAGAAAGTTTTCGTTTTTCTCGAGCTCAACTAGGTTTTCTGCAATATCCTTTCCCCACCCTTTGTTCTGGGTTTTATCTTATTGCAGTTTAGTGGTCAAAAAGGAGAACTCACAGTCAAATTGCGTGAAAATTTTTGAGGGTTTTTGCTGGCTAGTGAAGCTCAAAACCAGTGGCAAGCAATTGATTTGCGGTAATGCAATTTTAATCATACTGTGGACTGTGAAATACTCACGTGGGCTATTAAAAGTGAAGACATTTTAATTTACCCTCAGTTTTTGCTCCAACCATGGGTTGAGGTAACTCAGTTACCGTAGTTTAGAGGGAGCTGACGTGTGAAAATGTCCATACTATATGTGCGTGTATATATATTAAAAAATATATGGGTAAGTAAGTAATCTAGCCATTGCCATTGTGTTCATTCACCACCTAAGAAAGACACCTCATCGCTTTAGAAAACGTACAGATATAGAGAACAAGAGAGACAACACCTCTCATTGAAACCAAAGGGAGAAAAAAAAAAGCTTCTTGCACAAAAATTCCCTTCCTTTTCTCTCTAAAAATCCTTCAAAATATCCCAATCGAAATCGATTAACATAACAGAGCAGACTCTAATTAGATACCCACTTCTTTGCTCTTCAATTTGATCCAAGTTTTGCTTTTTTTGTTTTTGTGTTAAGAAAGACGTTGAATTCTCATCAATTATTGACAGATGCAGATGGGTTTTGAGGAATCATGGGTCTTTTCAATATGTAATCTCCGTCTCTCAATTGTTATATCTCGATCTGTGTAACGATCAGAATGTGCAGATGATGAAAGTTGTTGTGAACATGTGATGTTATATTCTTTACCTTTTTTGGTTGGTTGGTTTTCTTTTGCTAGTTTTGGTTGCCTGATCAACTCTCCCCATTTAGTTTTGATCATCTGATGATTTGACGATTTGGGTTTGTCGAAGAAAAAAAGTAAGATTTTTGTTAGGTATTCTTCAGATGAAGTGTTAAACAAATTTTTATCCCCTGTTTTGGGTTTTTGACCATGGATGTTGCTGTTGCTTGTTTTGCTTCCTTTTGATCGGGTCAATCTGACTTCTTATCTGTGATAAATGAGTTTACGTGAACAGGACAGTATCTTTTAATTCCAGAATTCTTTTCCTCCTGGGTTTCTTCTTCAGTCTGGAATATCATCTCATAGAGGAATAGTATTTTTCTCTTTAAAGTTTCCCTCTTTCGCTACACCTCTAAATTTTCCTTTCGCTGGCTTATCGTGTTCTCATCATCTTCTGTGATTTTCCTCCCTTGGATCAATTTCACTCTTGGACTTGCAACTTGGATGATCTGAATTGGTTTATGTTTTTTCGATTGACCAAAAACAATCATCTTTTACCACACCGGTTTGGGTTTCCACTTTACTAAAAAAGGTTTGATTTTTCTAATCACCTCTCTGGTGGGAACTTACCTGCTAGGTTGGTTTCATGAACTTTCACTTGATAGAACATAATTTGCTGACTGATATTTTATAAAATGTCGTTTTTTATAGCAGTGTTTTTGGATTGAAGTCGTTTTGATTATGGTTCATTTATGGCAAGGTTTTAAGTTTCTATTTTCACTTGCTGGATTAAAATATACAAGGAGTTTTTATGGGTGTGTGTTTCAATTTTCGTCTGTAGGTTTGAGTGTTGAAGTTTGCTGATCAAATACTACATTATCTAAGGTAGACTATATGTATTTATGTTATGGTCAAATTGGCAAAAGCTATAAAATATTAGATGTTAGGTGGTATATTGGATCATTTGGGAAGAGCAATGTAGTGATATTTTCTGGCAATGTTTTGATAATTCCCAGCAATTTAGATCCTCTACACTGCCAAGTTTTGGGCACTGCAAATTTGGGCAGTGCCCATGGACGCTACAACGAGTGGCACCCCGAGTTTACAATACCATAACATCCCAGACCAGCCAATTACTGCTATTGTACCTGCATCTGTACCTACATTTCAACGCCAAACTCGTCATTGCTTCGGGGACTCCACTCCTGGAGAATTCCCCTTAGCCGCTAACCCTTCCATTGTCCTTCATGTGCTCACCACCTGTAATTTAGATCCTCAGGATCTTGCAAAACTTGAGGCAAGTCACTTTTGATGTCTCTTTTCATAATTGGGCTCTTTATGAATGTTTGAATTGATGATGCTCCTGATTCAATTTCCAATCTTTATGTTGCAGGCAACCTGCTCCTTCTTCAGGCAGCCAGCAAACTTTGCCCCTGACTTTGAATTGTCTATATCTGAGCTTGCTGCTCTGGACATGTGCCAGAAGAGGGCTATATTTAAACCTATGAATGAAGTAGAACGTCAAGAAATGAAGCGGAGATGTGGGGGATCATGGAAGTTGGTCCTGAGGTTTTTGCTGGCTGGAGAATCATGTTGCCGAAGGGAGAAATCGCATGCCATTGCTGGCCCTGGTCATAGTATAGCTGTAACTACAAGTGGACTTGTGTACTCGTTTGGCTCCAATAGCTCTGGACAACTTGGACACGGGACCTCTGAAGAGGAATGGCGACCTCGCCTAATCAGGTTGCTAATTTTTGAAACACTCCTTAGCCCAGATACTTAACTGTAAACCCATCAAAGTACAGAGATAGCTAATGCAAGTAGATTATGCTGCAGATCCTTGCAAGGCATTCGGATTATCCAAGCTGCAGCTGGTGCTGGCCGGACAATGCTAATTAGTGATTCTGGGCAGGTTTTTTCTTTCGGAAAGGACTCGTTTGGCGAAACTGAATATGGGGTTCAAGGAAGTAAGCTTGTTACAACTCCACAGCTGGTTGAGTCTCTGAAGAACATATTTGTGGTGCAAGCTGCAATTGGAAATTTCTTCACTGCAGTTCTGTCAAGAGAGGGCAGGGTTTATACTTTTTCATGGGGTAATGATGGCAAACTTGGTCATCAAACTGAGCCAACTGATTTGGAGCCTCATCCTTTGTTGGGTGCACTTGAGAATGTACCGGTGGTACAAATTGCAGCTGGATATTGTTATCTTCTTGCTCTGGCTTGCCAACCTAGTGGCATGTGAGACATCTTTCACCTGTTTGTTAAGACCCATTTCTTATTTCTCGGATAAGGCAACTTACCTTACTATGCTATAGTTACTTTCGATTTAATTCCCATATAGTACATATCTGATTTTATATAAGAACTGCTAAACTCTAATTTGGTTCACAGTTCATTGTAGTCTTCTGATTCCATTTAATGATGAATTGAGGTTGAGAGTAAAATAAGTGCTTAGCTGTATGAAACTGTTCTGGAAACTTTTCAGGTCTGTGTACTCTGTTGGGTGTGGATTGGGTGGAAAACTCGGGCATGGTTCAAGAACGGATGAGAAGTACCCCCGGTTAATTGAGCAGTTTCAAGTTCTGAACCTTCAGCCAGTGGTGGTTGCTGCTGGTGCTTGGCATGCTGCTGTGGTAGGGCGAGATGGACGAGTTTGCACATGGGGCTGGGGGCGTTATGGATGCTTAGGTCATGGAAATGAAGAGTGTGAATCGGTGCCTAAGGTGGTGGAAGCACTAAACAAGGTGAAAGCAGTTCATGTTGCTACCGGGGATTACACTACCTTCGTGGTGTCTGATGATGGTGATGTTTACTCATTTGGGTGTGGCGAATCAGCTAGTCTCGGACATAATACTGTTGCTGATGGGCAGGTTCGGTTTTGGTTTTGTTCTCTTTTCTACATATTTCTATTTTCTATAAATATGAAGGTTTTCATGAGACAACTTTAGTCCTTTTATTTCACCCTGTGACAAAGGAGACTTTAAGGTATCTCATACTCATTGATCAACTTGTTCACATAATTTGCCTGACCTTAATTCCATCGTGGATATCCAGTCTAGTTTCCTCATCTCTGAGTTAGTTCTTAAATCCCCTAAAAGACTTTGATTTATCCTTTATAAAACTTGACTAGGATGAAAAGTTACTAGGATGGTCTGCTCTCTAACAGGGATAATTGATTGCTGTCCAGTTGAGGCATTTATTATTGTTGTTGCTGCAAAATGTCTCTCTCTCAACTAAGAGTCTTTGAAAGAGGTTGACATTGTCCTTGCTGTGTACTCGAAGTAATGATATCGAGGATTCTGTTTTCCAAATGTTGCAGGGCAACAGACATGCGAATGTGTTAAGCCCAGAGCTTGTAACATCGTTGAAGCAAGTGAATGAACGTGTTGTGCAGATCAGCCTTACGAATTCAATATACTGGAATGCTCACACATTTGCACTGACAGAGTCAGGGAAGTTGTATGCGTTCGGGGCAGGAGACAAAGGACAGCTAGGGATAGAGCTAGTTAACAATCAAAGTGAACGAGGGAACCCAGAGCGGGTTGATATTGATTTGAGTTAGCAATTGAATTGCTATCATGGGCATTTGATTCATTGCATTTGGTGTCTACTTTGTACATAGAAACAGACAGAAGAAAGAATTGTTAAGAATTAATTAAGGTAGGGTAGCAGGGGCCAAACCAAACACTACATTAACTGGCTAATCTCAAAGTGGTTTACCAAACAGCCCCTCCCAAGCTGTTAATAGTTGATATCTTTCTCAACCAAGCTTCATTTATAACCTACCTTTACATTGAATTCGTCTCGTCACCCTTAAATTTCCACTTGCTTTCGTTCCCATTAAGCCAATTTCATTTTAACATTGCTTTGGGCCGAAAGTTTGAGGCCCATTTACCTGAGTATTGGGCCTGGTCCACCATTTTGGTATAGGCTCAATAGTCCAGTCCATTAAATTAATACAATGTATTACAGAAAATTTTATATTAAAAACTTTTGGGCCTGATCCAATTTGAGCCCATCACTTATATGGGTACGCCAGTTTGATACATGGACCGTAAATCTTGGCCCGATGTATAGGTCAGGCCAGGTCAATAGTGACTCTAGATCTTGGCCAGTTTAGCCCGTCTGAATTTTTACCTACCCGGAGGAAAAGACTTGTTTTTACCTTTTTTTTTTTGAAGTCATTCATTCAAATAACAGCAATATGTGGTGGGAGACTGTCCCAAACATGAAACTCCGGATACTCACATGCAGCTAGTGCAGTGGCCAATCTGATTACATTGTCTTTTAACTCAGCTTATTGAAATATCAGGTCAAAGTGTCAATAGAGTTTTACAATCTTCAACTATGAAGCCAAATTTAAAGCAATCTTCCTCATTCGTCGTAAACGCCTTTTGCACATTCAATGCATCTATTTTGACTATGTCCGGACCCAAAAAATGAGAGAGAATATAATTCAAGATATTTGGGCATCCCAATAGCTCCACTAGATGAGGGGTCCTGCAGCCATGAAGTTTGCCTGAGAGAACTACCAGTACTCGGCCATCTGAATCTCTGGCAACAGCACCACATCTTGTCCTCCCGCTTGTATAAAAAATGGTGCCATCGACATTGCATTTCCATACCCAGGCGGCGGTGCCGTCCACCCGATGTCAGAACCTGCGTAGAAAACCTGCATACACCCTTGCCTGACAATTTTCTTTTTAATTTTAAAGAATATGAATATAATTATAATAAAAATTGAACCAAATACTATTTCGGTTTAAAGTTTGTTATATGTCCAATTTAAAATGAAGTGTTTTTTTTTTTTTTTTTTTTTATATTTCTCCATTAACAAATGAGAACACAAATTCAGGATTGTAAAATTAAAAATATAAATAAAGTTAATTAAATTATGTATTATTATTAGTTTTTATTTATAAAATAATTAATCTTTAGGAATTTGGTTTAAAATGATTATAAGAAAAAAATTTTGTCATCTGACTTCCTTTTATGACACTTGCAAATCTCCAAAAACAAATGTTTGGTTATTGTGATTTTTATTTGATTTTTAATTTTTATATAAATAATTAGTGCTTATAAATTTAAGATACGAAAAAAACACATTGAATAAGAAATTAATAATTTCTAACGAAATTTTTTTAGTAAAATTACAAAAAATAAAATTAAAAAAAAAACTCAAAGTTATCACCTTACTACTTCATAATATAAATATATATATATATAAGTCAATAAACAAATAAATTGATGCTTTTTTTTTTTTTTTTTTTTTTTCTGAACTTATAAGCTATTTAAAATTTGAAAATTAAAGCAAACATCACCAGAAACTTTACACACAAGCTGACTACAGCCATGCACCACTTGTATCCGGAACCCCGAAGGCATCCCTCTCTTTCAAGAGGATTTAACGCATGTCAAGTTCTAATAACATTCTTCGCTTTGCATTGAATTAATTCACATGTTCCACCGCTGATAAAAATTTTTGAGTTCTATTCTTGCGAATATACTTCCCAAGTATGATATTTAACGTGTTAGTTACAGTATTACACAGATCAATGCGCAGAACGCCTAATGACCGAAAACTTTTTGAATTGAGTAAAAAAAATTTTATTATTTTTTCATATTTTTGTTGAAACTCATTATCAATCTCCTTATGAATTTTGTGAATAAATAAAAAATCGGGGATCAGATATCATAACTTATTACATTTATGGTTAAAAGGAATATTTTATAATAATTAAATTCCTTTTATTACAATTGCTACAGTGTAAAAATTTGAACTAAGCTTTTCTTCTTTGTTTTTTTCTTTTTTCAAGAAGCAAATAAAAAATAGAGAGTCAATGATATTGTTGAAAGTCAGCGTATCATATATATAAGTGTGCATATATATATATATATATATTGTGTATATTTTTACGGCAACTAGGATCATATATATATATATATATGTGTGTATGATTGATTTAATGGAACAATGATTTTTTCTTTTTTTTTTTTTTTGTTTCTTCAATTTATAAGAAGAATTTAAATTTTAATAGATTGAAATTAGTTTAAATATGTGAAATTATAGTAAAAAACTCTTAACAATTCTATATGCAGATTAAAATTAAATTTGTGATTCTGTTTATGGATAAATTTGCATGCAAAACGATTGTATGAATATACACACAACACAAATGTATATATATATATATATATATATATATATGGATAAATTTGCATGCAAAACGATTGTATGAATATACACACAACACAAATGTGTATATATATATATATACACGCAACCCATACAATTGAACAATATTAGTAAATATATTATTTGATTATAGAAGTATATTCTGTAGGTTATATCTAACAATAGCTTCGAAGTTATGCACATATGCGTACACGTGTATATGCATATATATATATATATATATACTGATGTTAATATTGTCACTTTATACACACACAAACACAGAACCCAATATATTAGCAATCTACTAATGTCGTCTTCTTGATCATTAGGATATGTATGTCTACACATATATAAACCTATCTTCTCCCACGCATATAAAAAGTTAATTACTAACCTGCAGAATTTTTCTTCCACAAGTCAGTGCTAATGATTATTGATTTTAAGGATTTATTACAAAAGAAGAGATAAAACAAGAAATTCACACACCAAATGACAAACTGGTAAAATCATAGAGCTAGTTAAAGGTAGGATTGACAAGCCCTAACCAGCTCATTAGGATCCCATAGCTATCATTAGAGTAATCACAATCATATCTGAAAAGAATTAAGGAAAAAATGAGAATGTTGAAAGAAATGGACAGGTGGACCGCTTATATCAAAACCCTAAAATAAAAGATCTAGATTTTCTTTTTATGTTTAAAGGTCGGGGACAGCTGGTGGTCTCTTATGTTTCTAGAGACCCCCCTCATCCTCTTTTCATTTTCTCTATATGTATGTATATTTCCAAGATTCCATTCAATAATGACATACAGTAGAAAAATTAATGAGCATTAAATGCTCTCTACCTTACCCGATTAAGTTTCTTTACATAGTATCAGAGTAGTGCCTGTAAATAAGCACTGATTCTTCCGATTTCTACATTACAATATTACCCTACTGCTCAATGACAAACCCTAATATAGATTTGTTGACACTACTAAGCTCATACCTACCTGGAATGCAACTCGTCACAACCACACTTGATGGATCCAATTACTTGTCTTGGAGCCGAGCCATGGTGACAGCATTGAGAGCCAAGGACAAGCTTGCCCTCGTCGATGGCAGATGTAAAAAGCCCAAACCCGATGCAGCAGAATATGAACAATGGCATAAAATAGACAACATGGTGGTGTCTTGGATTTTGAACTCGATAAATAAAAAGCTCGCTAGCGCCTTCTTGTTCACCACATCAGCAAAAAACCTGTAGGATGAAATAAAAGAAAGGTATGATGAAAGCAACGTACCTCTATTATATCAGCTAAAACACAAAGCAAGTTCCATCACGCAATCTAACCTTTCTGTCACAGCTTATTATACAAAACTCAAAAGGCTATGGGATGAGTTAACACACCTAAAGCCCTTACTTGCTTGCACCTGCCATGTTGCAACACAACACAACACAGTGAAATAGACAATACCGACAACTTAATCCAATTTCTAATGGGTCTTAACGATCATGTTAAAAACCAAATATTGATCATGAAGCCCTTACCCGGAGTGAATAGAGCTTATTACATGGTGATTAGTGTTGAAAAACAGAGATAAGTACACAATAGTAACTCACTTGAGGGGACGCCCGCTGCATTTTACGCCAACCTGAAAGACAATCCAAAATTTCCAAACCAAAAAAAGGAAAAGGACAGTAGGGCATGTTCTTTAATGGCATAGGAACTTATATAATGACACAGTTGCCATATCACACATATGCCATGATTTCAAAATGCTTTCAAAACTCGTAAAACTAAAACCTGGAGTGCCTGTCTCACTATCAGACGGAACCATGAGTCATTCAACTCACAAAGGAACCATAAAGCTGTGTGACAACTTAATTCTACGGGATGTCCTTTATATACCAAAATTCACTTATAACCTTATTTCTGTCAGAAAACTAACCTAAGCTTCAAATGCTTACATTTCCATTTATCCCAACCATTGTTTTGTGCAATATTTGACAACTAACAAAATATTGAGGAAGGGAATAATAATGAAGGGCTTGTACACCCTGAGTGAAGACATTGACCCTAACAAAGCATACATCAGCCACACCCAAGAAAACAACCTGCAACTATGGCACAAAAGACTCGGTCACACATCCAAAAAAATAATTGATCCACATTCCCAGTCTAAAGTTACCAAGCAGTGTAGCTCTATATAATTGTGAAATATGCCCCTTGGCAAAACAGCAGCGCTTGTCTTTTTCTAAAAGTTTCATCAATACCAGTGACATTTTTAGTTTAATATATATTGACCTTTGGGGACCATACCCAGTTAATTTTATCTCTGGTGCACTTTATTTTTTAACCATAGTTGATAATTTTTCAAGAGCCACTTAGACTTATTTATTAAAAGAAAAAACGAGTGTACCAAATATCTTGAAATATTTTTACAATCTAATACAAAATCAATTTCAGAATATAATCAAAACAATTAGGACAGACAACGGAACTGAGTTCATAAACACTTCAAGCAAAATCTTTTTGCAAGAAAAGGGAATCATGCATCAAAAAATTTGTACATACACACCATAGCAAAATGGGGTGGTGGAGAGGAAACATAAGCACCTATTACAAATTGTTAGGGCA